GGACAAAAGTCGCTCAAGCTGATGCCACTCAGATCCAGGCCCTTCAGCTGACTGATGTTCGGGCTCCGGGACAGGTGGCTCAAGTCTGATTCTGTTAGCAGGCAGTTCGTTACTGAGAGGTTGTCCAAGGGAGTCTTCAGGCACCTGGGGAGAAATCCAGACATTAGGTGGGAGAAATCAGGGAGCCAGGTGAGCGACAGTTGGGAGACAAGTGATTTGCCTAAGGCCAAGGTCATTCTAACCACTTTAGCAAGGTCAATACCCAGAATTCCCAGTCTCATTTTAGGCTGAATCCTTTCACCTTCTCTGTGTGGTTGGGTCAAGCTCACAGAATCTTGAAAGCTCTCTTTCCTCATCTGTCATTCAGAGTAAAACTTACTCCACTTCCTTAAGGATAAGGATGACTAAATGGAATGGAATGCACTCAACATGCTCAGAGGGGAGCCTAATACTGAGTCTCAGTCAAGTGTGAGCATCACTGAATTTTAATACTTGGAGACAAGACCGAAAAAAAAAAAAAAGCTTTCATTTCAGGCTTCCTTCAACCCATGTTTGGTCCCTAAGCTCCTGTATCTCTGGGCAATCTGAAGCTCCAGGGAAATAGGCAAGAGGCCACATCAGCTGGGGTTGCAGTCTGCAGGGGATCACTTACATCCCTGCATCACCTGCAAACCATCTACCACCTTTTATTACCCTTTTGGCCCCAGCACCTTTGCCATCAACTCCAGAATCATGTATTTCTCATATATTAATTTCCTCATCTGGAGCAAACAAAACAAAACAACAACAAAAAAACCCCAACGTTTTACAGACAGGGAATTTGAGACAGGCTCACTGTGGTCATGAAACTGATGAGCACAGAATTTCTGTTTGAAATGCTCGGGTCTGATGGGCTTCTCTGTCTTCAATGCTCCCTTCACTTACCTATTTTCCTATGTCATCTGAGCAAAGACATCTCTTGCTAAAGAAGAAATGCACGTCCTCCCTCACTAGATTCCAAAGCCCCAGTTTATAGCTGCCTGGCACGGTGTCCCTGTCCAGAGCCTATATAACGGTTTGTCCCTCTACCTGGATTTGTGTGGTTACGTGATGCCACACTTCAGAACAGAGCAGCAAAGGAGACAGTGCATTTAAGGGTCTAGTGTTATGTTCACTGTCACACGGCCAGTGGTGCCGCCCTCACCTGAGCATCTGGTCCAGGCGGCCTTCGAGGAAGGAGGGAGATTCCAAATGGAGATCACGGAGGTGGTGCAGCCTGAGGATCTGAGAGGTAAATTGGACAACTTGCTGCTGCTGCTGCTGCTGCTGCCGATCAAATTCAGACACACGGACGTGGGAGAGACGGAGTCTCTGCACATGAGTCATCTGGCCTAGGAGAGGAGCGAACCTGGCCAGGGTGGACAGGCGCCACGTGCAGTCCACTTCCACCTCCTGGAGACAGTCCAGCTGCACCCGACTCAGGACCTTCATGATATTTTTCACGGGCATTGAAACAATCTTTAGCTTCTTACAGCGCAGGTGAATCAAACCTTTCCTCTGCTGCACCCACCTGAGGAGGTAGGTGAGGAATTTACCCGGAGTCCTTTTCTCAAAACAGAGGTCTGTGAACACCTCCAAGGAAGCCAGGTGCTGTTTTGTCCTTGAACTGTTTTCAGCCGCGGGTGCCATCCATGAGCTTGGGCACACACGGGCCCTGGCTCCAGACCACATGCTCCAGAAGTTCTGGCCGGTGTTCCGTAAATCCAGCACCCGCAGTCTGCACCTCCTGTGGGGAAACAGCAGGTTGGCTGAGATGCTTTAAGGGCCAGTGAATAAAGCCAGAGTCTCAGGATTTAGGCAACATGCACACTTCCCACCTGTGCTTTTACTTCCCATTCCTGGCGCCCCTGCTGCCTTGCCCTCTTCCTCTCTCTCTGCCTCACCTTCCTCCAACTCCCTTCCCCCTCCCGTCCCTCCGTGTTCTCCACTTCTAATGTCTTTAAGCATCACTGGGAGGAGGTGGGGGGCATGTTTTTCAGGCTCCCCCGCACTGAGGCACTCCTACACATCCGAAGACATTTCCCAAAGTGAGCTCAGCAGAGGCCAAAGCCTCTGAGCTTCTCATTGGCATCATCAGAGCCTCTAGTCCATCCCTTCGGCATCCACTCTCCTGACCCCAGCAATATCTTCTGGACCGCCCAGGACCCTACCAGGCTGCCTAGATCTGACTCACCTGGGGCGAACCTTCTGGGCCAGCAGGACGTCAAGCCCATCCAGCACTGCCTGGAAGGTCTCCTCCTGAGGCATGTGCATCAGGCCCCCCAGAGGCAGGCGGACAAAGGGCCAGACTTGCACCAGGGCCTTCAGGGTCTCAATGCGTCTCCCAAAGAAGGCCTCCAGGAACAGAGGTGGGACGAGCTCAGTGGGCAGATACTCCAGAGCAGTGATGGCCGAGGCCTCGTTGTCCCTCAGCAGGCTGGTTCCCGCCAGGTCCAGGAGTTGGGGTGGGGTCTGGACACTCATCCTGACTCTGCTTTGAAAGGTATCCTGTGGAAACTTCTAGGGAACAAGGCATTCATATCAGGCCAAGCATGAACACACCCTACTCTGCCTCCCCACCCTTCAGAGCTTCCAACTGAGGGCTGAAGTCACTACTCTGGAAACGGAGGAAGAGCCTCAGTTTTCCCCAGTTTTACTCCAGTCCCTGCGAGCACAGAGCCATTACTCTGCCTGTACTGACTCCAGAACAAGTGTCTCAAAATTTCTGAGGAAAAAAACCCACCAGTCCTTTCATTTCCATCCACTGCTTTGCTTAATTCATGTCCCATTCAGAAGTGGGTCCCAACAGCCTGATGGCGGACCCCAAGTTTAGGTAGGGGGACTTTCAAATCATCACTTAGAGCCCTGAGACTATGAGAAGAGGAGTGTCTTGTGGACCTACCCAGACGACATCCTCAGTGACCGTAACTAACCTGGCTGTTAAGGACTAAGAGAATACCCCTAAAATGAATGCCATTCGTGCACAAAATAAATATCTTAAATGTAAAACAATAAAATTACAAGCAGTTATATGTTTTTCATTAAAAAGATTATCTACTTGGTACACACATTAAAAAATGATATAAACCAAAATCCAAATCAAAATATTTGGGACTGAGGCAACACTACACTTAAAGGCAAAACCAAAACCTAAAATGTGTCTATCTGAAAAGAAAGAATTAAAAATCTCTCTGCCATCCTGCATGTCAGCATTAAAGATCAGCAGACCACATATAACGTGATGTCGTCCTTCGCTGAAGTCAGTTACCCACCAGCTCTGATGTGGTTGGAAGGGTGCTCAGATCTCAGACCTCTTGGGGAACCTGCCAGCGACTCTGGTGACAGAAAATTCTGCATCTGTCTCTGGTGTCTAAGGCTTTTATACCTGTCTAATCACATCTGCCCACTTTCCAACAGCCAATCACAAAGCGACACCTGATTAGATTCTGGACTATCACACAGGTTAATCCTGATTGGATTGTCAATCTCTGGATGGATTGATTGAGTCAGATGGTCATTCAGAGACTGAGAAAGATTGAGGGGAGGAAGGGGTGGAGTCAAAGACTGATTCATTCTCCGCGATGTTGGATTGAGTTTTACTGCTACGGACAGTGTCAGCCCTGGATGTGAGACAGGGAAGGGATGACGGGTTCCTGACATTGTCCAGAAAAAGCAAAACTTGAAAGAACTGGTGTTGGGGGATCTTTGGCCAAATCGAAGTTATCAGAATGTCCCAGAATTAAAACAGCCTCATGAAGACAGTGCTGTTGTTCTGAAAGGAAATAAAATAAATGTGTCCCTGTATCAAATGTCACTTAAGTGTTGTTAGAAACGTAGGAGTTCAGGAGCACATTCAGGAAGCAAGGGAAATGCTTTGGGGGATGTGGTTGGTTTCCGAGCCTTAAGTCAAGGCTTCCCTGAAGGAGGTCAGGTCAGAATCACAATGAGAAGGAAGGTGGGGACTGGGCAGTGTGGAGCAGGGCAGGCATTCTTTCTTTTTCTTTTTTTTTTCATGGACAAGTGGTTTTTATCTTATTTCATTTCTGTTCTCTTATTTGTGAATGAGGTAGTTGACTTAGATTTTTCTAGGGTAATTTTAATTTGGGGGGAGTGATTAGGTTTATTTATTTATTTTTAGAGGAGGTACTGGGGATTGAACCCACAACCTCATGCATGCTAATCAGGCACCCTACCGCTTGAGCTATACCCTCCCCCGCCAGAGCGGGGCATTCTTAGAGGCACCCTGTGAATAACTCAGTTGTAAAATATAGGGTTTTTTGTTTTTCCTCTTGAAAAGGAATGAGGTTAAAAGATACCCCAGGATAGACTTGGGTTCCATTCACAGTGCAACAGGGACAAGTGGGGATTCACAGCCGAGGAGCAGAGGGGTTGACGGCTGGAAAACTGCTAAGAAGAGACATCAGGTCTGAGGGCAGGAAGGGGATTCAGGCTGAATCAGCCTAACTCTGTTCCTGCCGAGGGCCGTCTAGGGTGGTCTGATGCCAGGAGAGAGGCCTGAGGAAATCCGCCCAGGTATCAGGATGGTGGTGCACCACTGGTGGGATTCTTGTGAAACTGATTCATCAGGGGTCTGGCTAAAAGCAGGTTTTACAAGAACGTGCACAGATGGACCGAGCAGAAGGTTCAGGTGCCTGACTAGTGTTTAGTCAAACAAAGAAAGTCATTTGAGGGGACTGCGTTGGGCACGGGTGGCCTCTGCCAACACTGATGTAGTGAAATGCTGGGCCAACTTGGAAACAGGTAGACGGTCAGAGATTGGGCCGGGAGGGCGCAGGCTGGTCACATGGTCTTGGAATGAAACGGGGAGCTATTGGAAGATTTTCATGACCTGATTAATGTTCTCCCATTCGTTGTGATGGTGCATGGAGATGAAGCTGTAGGGGAATGAGGGAGCAGGAAGGGTGGGCAGGGAGAGAGGGGTGAGAATCCAGGCTTGTGAGAAGCCGTCGTGTTGGAGACCCACAGCAGTGGGCAGACAGGGGAGGCGCCGGAGCACTGGCAATCTGCTGGAGGCTCGGGGATCGGGGTTGGGGGGAACGAAGAGAGGACGATGCCCACTGGAGTGCTGAGTTGGTCCATTGCAGGCTGGTCCTCTAGGGTGAGGGGCTGCTGTAAACTGGTTGCTTGTTTCCCCACTCTCCAAATTCATATGTTGAACCCTTAATTCCCAATGTGACAGGATTTGTAGCTGGTACCCTCGGGAGATACTTAGGTTTGGACGAGGGATGGGGTCGTGAAGGTGGAGCCCCACAACAGGGTTAGTTCACTTCTCATGGAATGAAGAGACCTGAGCTCCTCTCGCCCCCACCACGTGAGGTCACTACAAGGTGGCCCCCACTTCAGCCCCACCATGCTGGCTCCCTGATCGCAGGCTTCCAGACTCCAAAAGTGTAACAAATAGATTTTCCTATTTAACCCACCCAGTCTCTGGATTCTGTTATAATAGCGTGGACAAACTCAGACACAGTGAAGGAGAGACAAACAGTGGAGGGGGGGACCGTAAAGTGCTTTGTGGGCTCATTTTTTTTTTTTGGACAAGACACACACAAAAAAGCATTCAGAAAGTGGTGGTGCGCATAGTAGGAGAAAGTAAAGTGCAGGTCACAAGACTGATTTTACAACGTATTTATACAAAATTCTGTGTGAACATAGCATTCTTTCGTTCATTGTTGACCTAGCCCCCAAAAGGGTGTGATTACTTAATGTGGTGTTAAAGTAGTAAAACCACGTTAAATGCCTCATGATATTACTATTTCACTAAAAAGAATCTGTATCCTTTCCGGCCACAATTAGATTAATTCGAGAGGGATCTCTAGCCACGAGACAGACATGGGTGGTGAGGACCAGAGGCTCCGGCTTATCTGTCACTCACCGAACAGAGTGTGTTCTCTCTGTTGTGTGTATTAACCCACTGAAGAGCCACAGAAATAAGTAAGGAGGCGAGAGGATCTAGAAGAAAAAAGGCCTTGGGGGAATGATCACGTTCTGGATCATTGTCAACTGAGCGCCTATTTTTTTTTTTCATCAGTAACTGGAGATCCCTGACGTGGAAACAGAGAAAACAGGGTAACACATCATGGAGAGCACCAGTCCATCGATGATGAGGGTCTTTTTATTTCTGACCATTTCATTACAACCATCCATCCAGGGATCACTCCAGTACATGTGTCTCAAGCCTGAATCCCCCTCCAGAAATTCAGGCTCATATTTCTGACCCCAAAATTTCCATCAACTCCCTGAAACAGCATTTCTCTCTGCAGTCCTGCACCACGGCTGGATCACCTCTCCTTTTCCCATTCACACTGAGCAGATGTCTGAAACCATGGGTCTGTGTTCCCTTCAGGGTGCACCTATGTCCTAGATTTCAGTTTCCAAGCACCCAGAAGAAAACTTTTGACAGATGCAACCAACTAGGTGGGGGTATTCAATGATTTCTGTGTGCGAGAATTCCCTATAGCACCAGGGAGCCCAGGGGATGGAGTTAAGCCAGATGGTCCTGGGACGTCCCAGGTCTCTCAGAATCTCCAGCAGCTCAGCCTGCAGCCGGGTAAGTCTCCCTCTGAGGGGAACTCCAGCACAGCTGTAAGTCTCCCGAGGGGCAGGGGACCCCTCCTGACTCAAACTGGGCAGCCTGGCGATGTGACTCGGCAGCTTCTCCATGACGGCCGGGGAAACGGGGCTCCCACACAGGCTGAAGGCGCTGAGCTGGGAGCAGCGGCTCAGGGCAGGCAGGACGGTCTCGAGTTGGGGGTCCATGACCCCACACTGATTCAAGTTCAATTCCTGGAGGGTGGCTGCAACTTTCTCCAGCAGAACTTGGAGCGGCTCAGGGTTGAAGTCCGGCAGATCCAGGGCCTTGAGCTGACTGATGTTCGGGCACCGGGACAGGTGGGCCCAGTCTGATTCCTCCAGGAAGCAGTGACTTATTGCCAGGCTGTCTAAGGGGGTCATCAGGCACCTGGGGAGACACGGAGCAGTTAGGTCTGGGAAACAGGGGTGGCACGTGACCTCAAGGTGGGAGACAAATGATTTGGCCAAGGTCAAGGTCGTTCTGACCACTTGATAGAGATCAGTACCCAGAGTTCCCAGTCTCATTTTAGCCTGAGTCCTGTCACCTTCACGGTGTGACTGAGTCACATTCATGGACTCTTGGAAGCTCTCTTTCCTCGTCTGCCAAGCAGAGGGCGACAGACTCCACTTCCTTGTGAGGGGCTGAAGCTCAGGGAAGGCACTAGCCATGCTGACAGGAGCGCCTGACACACTGTCTCAGTCAAGTGTGGGCATCACTGGATATTAATATCGGGAGACAAGACAAAAAATGTTTTCGACTCAGCCCTCCTTCAGCAAAAACAAACAAAAACAAAAACCTTTTTATTGATGGGGAATTTGAGACAGGCTCATTGTGGCCACTAAACTGGGAGCACGGAGCTTCTCTTCAGAAACGCGTGGGTCTGCCATTGCTTCCCTTCCTCAGCGCCTCTCCACTCCCCCGTGAGTGAGTCTCAAGTCATCTGAACAGAGACCTTCCCTCCTAAAGTAAGAATCTAAACTCCATCACGGATCTGAACCGCCCAGTCTGCACCTTCCTGGCACGGTGTCCCTCTCCCCAGCCTCTGCCCCAGTCTGTCCCTCTACCTGGATCTGTGTGGTTACGCGATGCCACACCTCAGGAGACAGCAGCCAAGGAGACAGCGCATGGGACAGTCTAGAGTTGTGCTCACTGTCACACAGCCAGTGGCGCCGCCCTCACCTGAGCATCTGGTCCAGGCGGCCTTCGAGGGAAAACGGAGATTCCAGATGGGGATCCCAGAGGTGGTGCAGCCTGAGGATCTGAGAGGTAAACTGGACAACACGTTGCAGCTCCTGCTCCTCAGAGACAGACACGTGGAGTCTCTGCATGTTCGTCGTCTGGCCCAGGAGAGGAGCGAACACGCCCGGGGGGAACAGCTGCCACTCAGAATTCACTTCCACCACCTGGATACAGTCCAGCTGCGCCGGACTCTGGGCCTTCATCGTGTTCCCCAAGGGCACTGAAAGCGTCCCCAGCTTCCTACAGCACAGGTGTACGGAATCTCTCCTCTGCTCCGCCCACCTCAGGAGGCAGGTGAGGAATCCATCCAGGGTCCTTTCCTTGAGGCAAAGTTCTGTGATCACCTCCAAGGGAGCCAAGGGCTGCTCTGTCCTTGAAACGTCCTCAGCCAGGGATGCCATGGGTGAACTTGGGCACACATGGTCCCTGGCTCCAGACCACATGCTCCAGAAGTCCTGGCCAGTGTTCTGTAAATCCAGGACCTGCAGTTTGCACCTCTTGTGGCCAAAAGGGCAGACTGGTTGGGATGGTCCAACAACCATGATAAATGAAACCACTCTCGGAACTTAGGCAACACGCACACTTCCCACCTGTGCTTTTACTTCGCATTCCTGATGCCCCTGCTGCCTTGCCCTCTTCCCCTCTCTCTGCCTCACCTTCCTCCACCTCCCTTTCCCCTCCCATCTTCTCTGGTTCTCCGCTCCTAGTACCTAAAGCATCACTAGAAGGAGCTGGGGCGTGTTCTTTCACTTAGGCGCTCCTGCCCTGCTGGAAGGCATTTCCCAAAGTGAGCTCAGCAGTGGCCAAGGCCTCTGAGCTTCTTCACTGACATCCTCAAAAGCCTCTGGTCCCTCCCATGGCATCCATTCTCCTGACCCTAGCAGTATCCTCAGGGATGCCCAGGGCCCTACCAGACTGCCTGGATCAGACTCACCTGGGGGGAGCCTTCTGGACCAGCAGGACATAGAGCCCATCCAGCACTGCCTGGAAGGTCCCTGCATGAGGCATGTGCATCAGGCCCCCCAGAGGCAGACGGACAAAGGGCCAGGCTTGCACCAGGGCCTTCAGGGTCTCGCCGTGTCTCCCATAGAAGGCCTCCACGAACAGAGGCGGGAAGAGCTCGGTGGGCAGATACTCCAGAGCAGTGACGGCCGAGGCCTCGTTGTCCCTCAGCAGGCTGGTTCCCGCCAGGTCCAGGAGTCGGGGTGGGGTCCGGACACTCACCCTGACTCTGCTCCAGAAAGAATCCTATGAAAACTTTCAGGTTACAAGGAATTCTTCCCAGACCAAGCACGAGCAACCTTCGTTTGTCTTCCCACCCTTCAGGGGAACCTGTTCAGGGTCAAGGCCGCTGCTCTGGCAATAGCGCAACAGGCCTGATTTATCCCAACTCCACTCCGGGCTCAGGGGGCATAAAGCCCTGGCTCCGCCCCAGGGGCACCAGAATAAGCCCCTCACAAGCACTGAGAAGCGGGAAGAAGCCCAAGCACTGCCCCTCCGCTTCCACCCACTGCTTTGTCTGATTATGCTGCCCTGGGAAGTGGCTGCCATGAGCCTGAAAGCTGACCCCCATCTTTTTGGGGAAAACTCTCAGACCATCACATTGGGCCCCAAAACCATGAGAATGGAAGGGTCATGGGGCCCACCACAGCCTCCATCCTCAGTCCCCACAGTGAATCCAGTTGGGAAAGACTAAGGAGAGATCCCTAAAATGAATGCCATTTGCACAAAGTAAATATTTTGAATGTCAAGAAATAAAATTCCAAACAGTTAGATTTTTTTTATTAAAAAGAGTATCTGCTTGGTTAAGACAATTAAAAATGATATAAATCAAAGCACAGATCAAAATATTTGGGATTAAGTTAAAACTATACCTAAAGGCAAAACCAAAACTTTATATCAGTTCATCTGAAAAAATCCCCCAAAAAACCAAAAACCCTCTCCCTTCCGTCCTGAGCTGCATACCACCATTCAGGACCAGCCGACCACGCGTAAGATGAGGGTGTCCTTGGCTAAGGCTGTTAACTTACCAGCTCTGATGTGGTTGGCAGGGGGCTCGGTTCTCAGACCTCATGGAAAACCCAGGAGGTGACCCTGAGCCAGAAAGTTCAGCATCTCTTCTTTGGTATCTTTCCAGACCTCTCTAATCACATCTTCCCTCTTTCCAACTACTAACATCCAATCAGAAAGCACACCTGATTAGATTCCAGACTGTGCATCAGCTTAGTCCTGATCGGATCTTTGTGTATCTGGAGCGGAAGTGATTGAATCAGACATTCATTCAGGAGAGAGAACCAACGAGGGAGGTGGAGGGAGTCAAAGACTTATTGATTCATTCCACAAACACTGATTGAGTTTCACCACTACCAGTAGTGAGAGCCATGGTGTGAGACAGGGAGGGGATTACTGACTTCTGATGGATGGGAAAAAACACAACTTGAAAGCAGCATTGTTGGGGAATCTTTGACCATATCAGAATTATCAAAATGTCCCAGAATTAAAACAGCTTCACAAGGACAGTGATGTTGTTCCGAAGAAAATGAAATAAATGTGTCTCTGTAGCAGGGATCACCTAGCTGTTACGCCTGAAACATGGGCGACCACGAGACCATTCAGGGAGCAAGGGAAGTGCAACTGGGGATGTGGCTGGTCCTCCAAGCGTAAGTCAAGGCTTCTCTGAAGGTCATCAGGTCAAAATTACAATGAGAAGTAAGGGTGGGAGATGGGGTTTTGTGGAGCTGGGCATTCCTAAAGGTGAATGATCCAAACAGTGTAAAGTATGGGTATATATTTTTTTCCCATTGAGTAGAAGGGAGATTGAAAGATTTCCTCTGTGTGGCGTTTAGAAATTTAAAGGGAGTGGCTAAGAGAAGACAGTGTCATCCTTGAAGGTGTTTCCTCCTCCCAGAAAGTTGGAGTCAACCTGGCAATGAAAAGACTAAATCTGAGAATGTGAGCAGAGGGTGAGGTGACCAGCGCTGAGAGCCACTGAGGGTGGGCGCTGTGGGCTTTTGGGAACTTGGAGCCAGTGGGGGAAATAAACATGGGCCAGTCACACACAACCCTGTAATCATCGGGGCAGCTGCTACCCGGAGAATTTTTCTTGTAGGTTCTTCTGCCAGAGGACACAGCCCAGGTGGCAATTAGCCCAGCCATATTCTAGGGCCCTTGGCAGCCGAACCATAATCCCATTGACCCCTTTCCAAGTATATTTTGATAATTACTGTTTCCTCAAACTTAGGTAAGTTCAACACAAATTCTGATCAAGGTGACGCCATTAGGCACAGAAATAAAATTCTGGTTTTCCCTTCATATTTAGCACTGTTCACAAACACCAACACCTTTCCCCCACACAATTCAGGAGCTGTGTTTGGTACTTAAGGATCTGCCGCGTTCAGATCATACCACTGAACCGGGTAAGAAGAAACCAGGGTGGCTGCCCTGGGGTTCAGCCAATTTACCAGGACAAGCCTGCCCCCTGGTGGCCAATTTGATACCAAGTTACAGGTCATCATAGCTTCAGGTTCAGTGTTTCTTTGATTGGCACTAACTCTGAGGAGTAGATAGAAAAATAATTCAAAACTTGATTCCCCGTTTTTCTGTTTGTTCTTGGTAAATATCTGGGGGCTGGTGGTGGATTTGGATGTACCGATGCTCAGAGAATTCACTCATGAATTCAAAGGCAAAGTTGCGTTGTCTTGCAAATGTAATAGATAAGAACAAATCTGACTCCATATGAGATCTGTTCCTTTGACTTTAACCCTGTGCGCTGTTTCCTAGGCTTCGTCTTGCTGGCTCTGCACCTTTTGTGAAAGAATGTTGTCTACAGCCTGAAATATATAGGACAGCCTATTCTCAAGGCTCTGACCTTTAAGGATAGTAACACTTTTCCATTCATATAAAGATAGCAAGTTGGAGAATAGAAAATAGGGTTTGTTCTGTTGGAGGGACGCCATAATCTGAGCCACGGGGACAGCTGCAAGAACAAAGGATTCCGAAAACAAGGAACTCCTACACCAAGAAGTTTGCAACAACCAAGCGTACCCCCTCCCCTTTTTAGTGTAAAAAGAGCCTGAATTCTGACTTGGGGAAGATGGTTCTCCAGGACATGAGTCGGCCATTTTCTAGGTCTGCCAGCTTTCCAAATAAAGTCCCTATTCCTTGCCCTAACACCTTGTCTCCAAGATTTATTGGCCTGTTGTGTGGCGAGCAGAACAAGTTTGAACTCAAAACTGTCCCCACAACCACTCAAGAGTAAGGCAGGATACCCTGTCAGGATCATCAAAGGGTCTCCCACTAGTGTCACTGCTTCCCTGTTAACTGCCCCCAAACAAGGTCTAAGAGCAGCCAGCGGGGCTGGAAAACACCCCAACTCATCTGCTCTTTTGGCCACAGGAGGTACATTCCTCATGGTTCTCCAGGTGGGTCCGTAACTCTCAGATCCTGGCCTTGGTGTGTGCTGGGCAAGGGCTTCGCTGCACAAGGCGCATGGTTCTGGAAGGGAGTCATCCACGCTGCAGACAAGCTGAGCCTCTGGCCCTCACAACCCATGCCTGTCATATGTGGGTCAGGGTCCTTCTTGAGCTGATCTAGTTGTGGCCAGAAAACACATACAAATTCCTTTTAGCAAAATAATGAGATAGTGCAGGCATTTAACATGGTTTTGATATTTCTATACCTCATTAAACACGATATCCTTTTAGGGGGCTAGGTCATATCAATGAGAGATTGACTTTATTCTCATAACCCCTCCTGTCTCTCCCCATCGGCGACATGGATACATTAGGATGTATCATGAAACAAAACTCCGGTTGGTGAACGTGACCTCCTTGCCTGATGGAAGACACGGTGTTGGTCAGGGCTGTCCTGAGTAACCATTTGAGTACGTACAGTTAATTGTTGAGCAGCACGCAGGTCGGGGTGCTGACCCCCTGCTCTGTTGGAAATCCCCGTATAACGCATAGTCTGCCCCCATATCCTCTCTTCCACATCCTTGGATTCCACCAACTGGAGATCCTGTAGAACTGTATTTACTATAGAAAAATATCTATAAGTGGACCTGAGCATTTCAAATCAGTGTTTCCAGGGTCACCTGTAGAGACAGAGACAGAGATAGAAATATATATTAGAGGAGATTTATCACAGGAGTGGGCTTGCACAGTCACAGAGGCCAAGACATCCTGCAGTCTGCTGTCTGTAGCTGGAGAGCCAGCAAAGACAGCGATTTAACTCAGACCAAGGCTTAAGGCTGAAACCAGGGGCTCTGACAGTGTCACTCCAAGTCTGAATCCAAAGCCCTGAGAACAAAGGGACCATAGATACACATTCCAGAGTCTGAAGGCTCATGAGCCAGAAGCTTCAACGTTCATGGGCCAGAAGAGAGATAAGGAGAGAATTTGCCCTCCTTGTTCCATTCAGGCCCCCAAAGGACAGGCAGGTGCCACCCACACTGGTGAGGGCAGGTCTCCTCGCTCAGTCTGCTGATTCCAGTGCTAATCTCTTCCAGAGATGCCCTTACAGAGCCTCCCGCAATTAACAATTGACCTCCATCTGGGCATTCCTTTCCTCATCAATATTAGCAGAAAAACAATTGACTAAACAAAGGGCGTTCAAAGGAAGACTCCTTTTGAGGATTCAGGGGCTGCTGTTGTTGGCTCGGGGAGGGAGAGGTTAAAGCTTTGGTGGGGGGACCTTAGGCAAGAGCCTCAGTTTCCTCATGAAATAAAGATAATGTTGGACACCCAGCGTAAGGGATTTCATAGGATCCAATGAGACGATGCACGTGGAAGACTTGACACCCCACCTGCCACACAGTGAGACATCACTACACGGCACTTTTCCTTCTTTCTCCTTCCTCGCGGGAGCCCCCGGTATCTTCCTCCCTCTAGCTTGCCTTCTATTTCTTACAACGGGAAGGAGAGCAGACTCAGGCCCAAAAATGAGATTCAGCTTGTACCTGTGGCCCCCAGTGAATCATGAGTCACCCAAGCTGCTCAAGCAGCCAACGCAGGTGTCTGGGGTCGGGACAGGTGGGAGGGGCAAAGGGGGGATTGGCATCTCTAGTGACAGACGTTTTGAGTCTCAGGACTCCTAGGCCACCTGCTGGTACATCAGACCAGGGGCTATAAATCAGTGTTGCGAGCAGAACTGTATAGCCCAGTATTTTTTAAATCTGTTTTTATATAAATGCTATTTGATTTTTTTAAAGATTAAAGATGTAAATTGTCTTTTAAAATTATAAAAGACATACGCAGCACTTTTAAAGAAAGTATGTGGATATTTTTTAAAATATTTAACTTGATTTGGAGCCTCAAAACGAATGAGACTTTAAAACTGATTTTAAAGAAATTAAAAAATAAAACTGATTTTAACGATTGATGAATGAAAATATTTTTCTTTAAAAAGATTTAGACTAATATAGTTTTACACCTGGAAGGATTACAATTATATATTTTTTAATTAGACTGTTTTTTAGAGCAGGTTTAGGTCCACAGCAAAATTGAGCAGAAAGTACAGAGAGTTTCCATTAAACTCATGCCCCCACCATATTCACAGCCTCCTCCACCATCAGCATCCCCCAGGGGGCTGGTACATTTGCTTTAATAGAGGCACCTACACTGACACATCATTATCACCCAAACGTCATAGTTTACATTAAGGTTCGCTCCTGGTGTTGTACATTCTATGGGCTTGCACAGAGTATGATGATATGCATCCACCATTGTCATATCACATACAGGGTATTTTCACGGCCCTAAAAATCCTCTTTGGTCTTGCTATTCATCCCTCTGTCCCCACCATTCCTTAGAAACTACTCATCTTTTTGCTGTCCCCAGAGTTTTGCCTTTTCCAAAATATCACATAGTTGGAATCATACAGTAGGAATCATACAGATTGGCTTCTTTCACTTAATAATAGACAATTAAGTTTCCTCTATGTCTTTTCATGGTTTGATGACATTCCATTGTCTGAATACACCACAGTCTATTTATTCATTCACCTCCTGAAGGACATCTTGGTTGCTTCCAAGTTTGGCTTTATTATGAATAAAGCTTCTGTAAGCATCCGTGTGCCCATTCTGGTGTGGACATAGGACTTCAACTCATTTGTGTAGATACCAAGGAGCGAGATTGCTGGATTGTATAATAAGGGTATGTATTACAATAATTTTTTCCCGACAATCTCACCTGTTAGAGATTTTCCCACAGAGGGCAAAGACTGTCTCTATCGCCCTGTGGTTCCACAGCTGAACTCAAAGCCTGGTATGGCTGGTAAATGCTCATGACTGCATGGACCATGGAAATCTTTCTCATCAGTTTAGAGCCAAATGCTGTTTTTCACTAAAACGCA